TGGCTAAGTCAGCTCCCTTTCCCCAGCTACACGGGCCTTGCTTGGTATTGAGCATCATGACCAATGTCAGACGTGGCATTCAGAGATAGGACACTTGTAAGAGGGCACTGCTGCCAGCTGTATCAACACAGGGGACGTGCTCCATGGCTTCACAGGATCACAGAGTGGTTTGGGTTGGAAAGGACCTTAAAGCTCACCCCATTCCAACCCCCTGCCATGGGCAGGGACACCTTCCACTAGAGCAGGTTCTCAAATAATACATCTACTCAGAACTACCTTGCTTTCTAGGTTAAAATGCAGCCTAACACTAACCAGATTCCACCAGATGCTGCAGCTAGATAGCAGTTTTTAGGGTGCATGCCTATGAGTGCTTAAATATGGCATTATATATGACAACTGTTCAACCAATTTGTCCACAGAAGTAAATTCATGAGCATTAGAAGTGAAACCAACCCTCCCTCACCAAATCATCACTGGAAATTGATGCTGTCAGGTGGAGCATGAGCCTTTATAAACAGGAAGCAGCTGCTGCTCGAGCTGCCTGTAGATGCACCAGTAGAGAAGTTGCTTCAGCCCCTTCTATTAGGCAGGAAGGCTGCTTGTCACAGTAGGCTTCTGAATTTACATACTGGAATAAGAAAGGCTTAAAAATAGCCACAGGTTTTGAAACACAAGGGAGACAACAAACCTCTGTCTTCATATTTACAGAGCCTTCCATTTAATTCAATCACAGGCAGGTTTTATCCTCCGTTTAATTTGATCCTCTGTAACCACATCAGCAGGATAAAATCACACAACTTCTACCCATGATTTTAGTCAGTTTGATAACTGCAAAGCAGCTCTTACCTGACAGCTTGGTCACAGGCAAAGCTGGTTTAGTTAACAAGAAAGGCTTTACCTTTGGGCAATAAATAGTCCACAGAAAATGTTAAAAGCCTCATAAATCAGTAGGTTTTCAGTAAATTTGAGTTATTCAGTGTTACATCACAAATACCACTGAATACTACAGAGACCTGTGCTGGGCAGAGTGTTGCCAGCATGTGCACAATGAAATCAACTACATGAATCATCCAGCACATGAGTGGAAATGGACTCAAAATACTTGTGCATGTAACAGACCAACCAACTTCAAGCAGTTTTGACTTGGGGAAGTGTCAAGTGTTAAGGATTAGTTGGTACCAGGTCAGTTCTTTCCCTCCATCAATGTGACTTCACTTCTACTTCAGATGCTTTGCCACCTTGCCCAGTTACTTGACATAGCTGCAATGCTCCTTCCCATCTGCTCTCTGCCCAGCTGCACATCTTCCCTGCAACAGACCTTTTCTGATGCTCACCTTAAGAATCTGGCAGAAAAATCAACTTAACGGGGGACTTTTGGGGTTCCAGAGGCATGGCATCAGGCAGAATATGATTATAGGGTTAGAGAGGCAGGAATGGAGTAACTGAGACAACAAAAGCCATGATCCACATTATTTCAACCAGCCACACAGCACAGTCTTCACAGTCAGAGTTTGACTGACCAAAGCTTTGTACCTGCTGTGCTTATTTCTCCAAGTTATAAAAATGAAGGAAGCAGGTATTTTCTAGGCCAGAAGAAGAGATTAAGCTTAAGTCCAGCACAAACAGGCCCATGGTTTGGATCTAGGTCTTCCACTTCTCTTAGAAGCATGCCTCTTGGACTGCCAGCCACGACTAGACTGTCTTCCTGCTCATCACTTGCCACCAAGGGATGGAGAGGAGACACACACTTAAGGCTCTCACCAAAATCTAATCATTTGGGCCAGACTTTTGGTTTGACACATCAGTGTTTTCTGAAAAATACTTGATTGTGTATCGCACAAAGAGTTTTCCTCAGTTTCAGAGCCAACAATAAGGAATCTTCCCTTACAAGCCTCAGCAGTGCAGTACAGCTGCTTTAATCTGGAGGGGTTTTTACACAGCGCCAGGGCCAGCCCTGCTCTGAAGCTGTGCAGGTGGAGCTTAGCTGTCTATAAATAAGAGCACAGTTTGATCTTTGGCTCTGCTGAGGCTGGAGAACTGCCAAATGTTTCTGGAAACTTGGATGGAACAGAACAAGAACGAATACGATAAAGGGAGCTGAGACTGACAATGATTTATAGAGTTAATGATCATTATTCTGTACTCACTTTGCACTTTTTGGAGCAGTGTTCCACTTTTCACTAAACTTGGCTTTTTCTGTTTGTGTGGCCCTATTCTTTATCATTTAACATGGACAAATTCGTATCAAAAAGCCCTGAGCTGAGCAGCTATGGCTTTCATAGTACAGTGCAGCTGAGGGAAAAGAAAACAAAGAGAGGGGAGAAAAATCTGCACAGGAAAACTACACATGGGACTGTACAATTTAACCATGAATGTGGAAAAATGTATGCAGAGAAAACAAAGCTTAACACAATACAAAGAGAAACTTCCCAAGCATAGGGCAGAGCACTCAAAGTATTTGTTCCTACAGTCTGTTCCCCATCCATAAAACTCCCTTGTATGACCAGATAACTGTAAAATTTATCAGGAAACTGTGTTCTAGGCTTTTTACTCTGCTTTGCTTTGCTGCCAGTGCTAGCACATCATCCCCTCTCACTCTACAGCTTCGCCACAGGGGTTCTTTGTTGGATTTTGGAATAAGCCAACTTTAACACAGGTTTATGTGAGCTGGCCTACCCCCAATCTAGCTCTTGCAAAAGGTGTATGTAAGGGGAGAGCAGGCACATATAACTCATTGGAGTAACTCCCTGAAAGACTTCCAGGGAATCTGGAGCTTAAAGTCTCTGCAGCTACTGTCTCAATAATTAACAAATGCTGAGAGACCATGAAAGCTTTACCCATTATCGATCAGTTCTGGTTTATAGCACCAATGCCAACTGTAGTAGTAGATTACAAGAGCAAAAAAACCCCTGATTATTAACTACTTGAAATACTTTACCAAATAACTAGCTTAAAAATTCATTCATTCATTCAAAGGGAAAAAAGACACAGCCAGGAAACCCAGACTTGTCACTTTCACATGAGCAATGCTGTCTTGCACCATTATCAGTCTTCTTTCATTTAAATACCTGCTAAGTACACACGACAAGTTGAATTTCCATCCCACTTATTCCAATCTAGAATATAAGAGAAGATGCTTTTCCACAGTGAAATTTCAAAACCATAAACAAGTCTGAAGTTGTTCTATGATAAATATTTTACCGTAACTAACCCCCAACCAGCCAATTCTCTACTTACTACATGCTGCAGCCTAATTATTGAGCTAGGAAACAGAATATTTTCCCATTTTCACAACCCAAGCCATGCCTAGTCAGCTCCCGTCATCTCACATGTTACACCTCACATGGATCCATTCTGTGAAGTGTAATTAACAGCAGCATTAAAATGGAACCCAGCTTTCAGATGTAACCAAAATGAACTTGTTCAGTGTTTCTCCTGGGTACTGAAAATGCACAAGTTCCACTTTAAAATGGCCAAATGCTTGTGTGCTGGCTTAAGCTGTGAGGTCTGACAAACAAAGGGTTGTAATGCAGCAGCCTCTGGATTACAACTGCTGCCAGAAAATGCCTCTCGTGATGAATGCACTATTTAAGAGTGTGTTTGTTTACAAGGCTTCAGCAAATTAAGAATGTGTAATTTGCTCCCAACTTTCCATGATTTATTGCAGTTTACAACCCTGCAGAACGCTGTTTAATAAGTACAGTTGCATTGTATCAGATGTATAAAAATGAAGCCAGCGGAAACCTCACAAATGCAGCAATTAAGTTGTAGAATGAACCACAAGAAGCACCTTTGCTTGACGGGTTCTCACACAGAGATCATCTCCCCCAGATTCTGGAAACATACCCAGAAACAAATACATGTGGTGTGTCTGAGTGTGAAGTGCTTTCCCTGCAGCACACCCTCTCTGTCAGCTACAGGCACCTTTCTTGGGTCAAAACTATCCTTTCCCACTAATCATGCTGCAGAGCAGCATCATTTAGTAGGCTAATAACAACAGTAACGTTTCAATCCAGAGCCATACACACCAAAAGCCTCCATCTCTTGTCTGAAGGGAAGAATGACATGTTTAGATGTTCCTTCTCTGCCTGCACAACGCCAAGCCTAGAAAGACAAACGTCCAGCAGCCATGTGGAAGCAACAGCACTATGACTACTACACTGAGTAAAGTGATGAGACTTGGAGTGTACTGGGATGTTAAATTGTATGAGCCGAAATCCCTCAGCCATTCCAGGTCTGTAACTGAGGACACAATAACACAGTGCACATTTACTGCATGCCCCAAATTCATCGTGTCCGTACGTACTCTGGGAGCTACACATGATGGATGTACCCTTTCCAGTACAGTTTTGGAGCCTGACAATTCCTACATACTTTAAAGTAAACGTGGATGGCTAAATCCCAGCTTTCAGATAATCTACTTTTGGTCTGCTCTTTGTCAAAGATTCATCCATCAAGAACTATGCCAGTAAACACTTTCAGATTCCACATGAGGGCAAGAAGGGACTTAATCTCAAACTCTGTCTAGGAGAAGCACTGATATCCAACCTTATGTCAGCCAGCTTGAGCTGACACTGTAATCCTCAATTCCAACAGGAAAAAAACAGGGACAGTGCTTTGTATGCCTTTTACATCTTGTCCTACTCCAATTAATCACTGTGAACAGCTTTCCTGGAGGTGAAAATCAAAGTGAAGTTTAGGGTCCAGAAGTTTTGCAGCTATTTATTTACCTCACAGCATCCACTCAAGAATAGTCACTTGATCTTCTCCTCTTATTCTACTATTGGAAAGGTATTTTCCTCAGTCTAATAAAGTTCTGGAGATCAAATAAGATCCCACCAACTCAGAATTGTGCACGAAAATCATCCTGTGCAACAAATGCTTTGCCCCTCTTCTTTCCCATAAAGATAACCTCTTGAGAGAAAGGAAAATAGAAGAAAGAAAACAGCAAGAGAAGCAACATGAACTATAAGGCTCAAGGGAATAATTCATTTCCCTACCACTTCATCTTCAGTCCAACACTTCTCAATCAGTTTTGGCACAGGTTTCTTCACCAAGCGCTGCAGGGCTTTTCCAGCATCATAGTTACTTTCATGTAGCTAAAAAATAAAGAAGACAAATAGATCATTCAATGGAATTAGCAGGGACCTGATATTGGAGAAAAGCCACTACAAGGGGCCACAGGAGATGTTCTATGCCTAATGATTTTTATTGTTGATACATGAAGTGGAATTTAAACCAACTGAAGGGTAATTGGGGTCTTACTAGCAGAAAACACAGCATTAAAACAAGTATATTTCCCCCTTCTTTTCCAAACTTCTCCCAGATAATGTTTGAGCCCATAAAGCACTGAAGATTGTTATTTATTTACATCATAAATTCCAAGGAGAATTTAGAAAAGCCCCAACAAAACAGTTTTCAAAAGGAATTGTATTTTATGCACTGTACTTTGCTCGGATTAGTAGAAACAACTGGAAAAACTCATATACAAGATTGCAAATCATGGGATAGCAAGTTTACCCATCCAGAAAACTCTTTATTGCGGAGACCCCCTTACTGTTAGAAAGGAAGTACAGAAGAGAAACAAAACCTCTACAGATAACTACAGGAGTACATAAAAGCAAGCACGGATGCCTATAAGTTGACCTCACTGTCACAGCCTATGGCGTACCTTATTTTCTCCCATAAATTTGGTATCTGTATGATTAAAAGCTGCCTGAAGCAGGCAGTAGCCATTTAAATCAGGGTGAGGCAGAGAAACAACCACACTGAAAAATGCATTCAACAATGAACCCAGGAGAATCTCTGGCTCTTAACTCTTGATAGAAAACACTTAGCACGCTACAGATTGATAGCCTGTCCTATCTTCAAAGTACAGTGGGATTTTAAGGACTGAAGCACTAGTCAGGAGCCTGCTCTATGTCTTCTGAAAATGATCTCAAAGAAAAAGAAATATTGCTGGGATGACAAAACCTGAATTATCTTCCTACACCCCAAAGGGAGAATAATTTGCATTCAAACTTCCCCACATGACAAGAGGTAGTTTTTCTCCACAATGTGTTAAGCAAAGCTTCACAGCTACATGTTGACATCACAGAATTTAAGAGCCTCCCCAAAGTTTCTTTACAGCAGGGACAACCAAAACATGATTCTGTACATTGATTATCTCCTGCTTTTCCTTCCCTGCCTGAATTCATCCTGAGGTTTGCATCCCCCTCCCTAGCAGCTTCCATGCTGCTCAACATGGGCTTCACCAGTCACAGAGAACACCACAATGAGCGTTGCAAGAATGCAGAGGACCAAGTTGGCTGTGAGGGCAGAAGTGCACAGCTCACCAGTCACACTGCACACCTCTACTGACAGGGATGAGCATGCTACCAGCTCTGTTAAAGAAGACATTCAGAAGAAATTAGTACGTTCTGTGTTATGTTACAAACTGGCTCAAATCTATCATCAGTAGGAACAGATCTTGAACTGCTGAAGGGGCTCTTCCACCTCCCCCAAGTTGTTGGGGCATTCAGAATGTTTTTTGTACTTGAAAGACTTCTAAAGAAAGTGAAGTACATCTAAAAATAAAAGGTGACTCCTGGGCAAAGCCCTCTGATCATTACCTGCAGTGTGTTTTGAGAACAAACAGTAATGTTCCCTTCACTGGCGGCCTGAACAGTTTTTGTTCCTTACCAACAACTAAAATAACAATAGCTTACAGGGTGTTACTGCGCTAAAACAAGTGCTTGGCTAATATAATGGGAACAAGAAAGAAAACTCAGCCAGAGTGATTTTCTATTCATTTTCAGCTTTGTTATATGGCAGCTACAGGGAAGTTCAAGATACGCCATGCAGTGGTTCAGAACTGTGTGTACTAATGCAGGGTAACCATAGAAAACAATGCTTTGCCTTCCCAAAACCCATCTCCTGGCCACCTATGTTCCTCATCTATCTGATCTCTGCAAGCCACTGCCAAGAGATGATTGAGCACAACAGAGCCATCGGTAGCACCTCACGGCTCTATCAGGGAGAAGCATCTCCTGAGATCACTTACAGAAACCATGGCTTTCAAACCCATCTCCAAAGGTGAAGATTCCATGAACACCAGAACAACGGCTTGTCAATCTGCCTGGTAACTCCAACAGTGTTTCTTCCATGACTGCACCTCCATGCGAGGGAAACAAGATCTCAGCCCATCTTACATCAGCCACGCTGAGGTGATAAGAGTCGAAAGCCAGGCTCACAGTGCCAGCGCTAACACACACCTCTACAGCCTCAAATGGCTTTTAACTTGTTTTTTCAAGACTCCTCTGGTATGCAGTACCTACTTAAAACGGCATGAAAATACGATGTTGTCCTTCCTACTAGGTACACATTAATTTTCCTCCTTGTTTGCACTCCAGCACTGGGATAAGATCCATCTTAAAGAAAAAAGAACTGTTTGTTTTGCCAGCTCACCTTTGCAAATGCTTTTTGCTGTGCATGCCACTACCTAGATTTTTCACTTAGGAACTTTGACAGTGTTGAAAAGAATAGTGCTTCTGTTTCTTTTCCCTCTTTCCTCCCCCTCAAAACATGCTGCAATGCCAAAGCCTCTTTGTAATTTGGAGGGCATCTTTATTTTGCCTCAAGGACAACACGTGTTTTTCCCTGGCAGCCCTATTGCCCAAGCAGTTCAATCTGCAAGAAAACATAAATCAGAAATGCCCAGAAAGAAGGGACTGCTTACTGAAAACCAGAAAGGTTTATGGGTCATCAGAACTGCCCAAACCAGCAACACAAAATAAAAGCATTAACTTTGGACCAAATAATGACATTAATAACAATCACAACACCCATAAGCAGAGATGTAAAAGAAGAGTTGTATAACAGGAGACGCAGATGTGAAAACAAGGGACCTGATACAGGTTTCGAGTCTTCTGAGAAAATATTACTTCTAGCAAACAATAAAAATAAAACTTAAATATAAAGAAGCCTTTCTCAGTGCCAGGAGTAGGATAATGCTGCAAAAAGGCAAAATATTTTCTTGTAAGTGCCAGAAGTAAATTTACGTGTTTCATTCTGGCTCATTCTCTGCTTGTTACTTTTGGTCAGGTAATATATATAAAAGGACTTTACTGGCAAGCTACTCAACCATAGAAATAATAGTTGATGATGACTGCCTATGGTTTCATTAACTTCTGGTCAGACTTCTCAAGGTATTGCTATAAACACTACATTACCATCCTGTCATCTAGAGAATCGCCAATTTTAGGCTTTAACTCTGCCATCTAAATGTTGAACCACTGTGGCATTATGTATATATACCCCACTGCAGCAGCAGGAGTGACACAAATGTGCTTTGAAAGAGAAAATCCAGCACCTTCTGCATCACTGGGCAGATTAAAGAAGAAATTCTGCACGTGCACGTGTCCAAACCCCTCCTTTTTATTACAACAGTCATTAAAGGATCACAGGCAAGTCTTATTGCAATAAGGTCTGCACATCACCACAAGGTTTCAAGCTTCTACTACAGCTCCTCAGCAGAGCTGCCATTCTCTGTCTGTGTGATGCTGCAAATAAATTCTCCTCTTGGCATGGCTCAGCTGTCAGGCACCTCTGTTCTGTAATGAACCCATGAATTACATCTTGCAGCTCTGACATCTCTGGTCTTGCTCATCAAAATATTGTTCTTCAATTGTAATTTATAACTTAATTTAAATGTCCCTTTTCCTGTGACCTTTTTAGATGGGAATGGCATTGCATCTGGCAGCTTCTGCTTCAGCAAGGCATCCTTTTGCAATTACAGTCATTATGATCTCTGTTGAAAAGCCCATCTGAGTTAGGCTGCATTCATGCTCCAATACTAAATAATTGCAGTCCATTAAGAATGCTGTTAGATTCCAGAGTCTCTTTCTCTAAGGAAAAAAATTGCTACTATAGAGTGAGAAAGTAGTGCTGAGCTCCTTTGAAATGTAACCCAGAAAAGCCAACAAAAGCAGAAGGGATTATTGAGATGCAACATACTTTTTTGGGGATGCAGCACTGGAATTCAGGGGTTTCCCAGGCTCTTCCACTGAATGATCACTGGTCATGGCAAATCACATCACTTGTCAAGGAAAAGGGATATAAAGCCTGACCTGCCCAATATAGAATCCCAGCCTGGTTTGGGTTGGAAGGGACCTTAAAGCTTCTCCAGTTCCAAGCCCTGCCATGGGCAGGGACACCTTCCACTAGAGCAGGTTGCTCCAAGCCCCATCCAATGTGCAGTAAATATTACCAATGCCACAAGAGCATTTGAAGACTCAGATGAGCCAAAAAGATTTTCACTGCTGCCAAGCAAGAGATTCCAGAGGAATTGAAGAAGATGGTGTTTGCCTGGTACTGCACTGTCAATATTCATGTAACATCTCTACTTAAGCACCAGCTATTTAAATCTATGCAGGCTTAAGAACATGGTACTTATTTATGAGGGATTTGCTTCTCTCACTATCTTGACAATGGTCAGGACACCCAGAGCTCTTTGTCAAACTGCAGCAATGTTTAAGAGTGTAGAAAATAAAGAGAGGAGAGAGAAGGAAAAAGACAACAAGGAAAATGAAAAGCAGAACAAGAATTACTGCCATGTGGCTTGAGTAGTGAGGCCTTTTAGTGTAATTACTGTAATCCAAGCACCTAATTTAATACAACATGGAATTCAGGCCACTTTTTTCAGTAGCAAAGTTGCCACATTTCAGTTTGATGCTGATACTCTTTATAGCTATGGACATCTTGCCCTACTATCAAATGGAATATGCTTCACTGCAAAGATAGCTCATGAGGTGAATGAGTAAAATCTATTTTCAAATGCAGCATTCTTTAAAGTGCTCACCCTCCAAAATGGCAAGATTTGATTTTTGTCAACCACGTTTGATACTCAACAACTAGCCCCAAATACCTGTTAATTCCAGGAATTCCCTGTTCAAGGTCAACCTCCTCCCCATCTGCCTCAACAGCAACTAATGTGAATCAGTTAGAAAACACACTGGCCTCAGACAACAGAACTACTTTGCTGAGCTCCCTCTGGTGCCCAAGGACACCTTGAACTGATCCAGAACCTGAACTATCCAGCAAAGAGACTCTGCCCACAAAG